GTAATGTGGTCGTTTCCTATACTTAGCTAGTTACCTCCAATCGGGGTGATTTCTTTAGACATGGTAAATTTTGAAGATAAATACTACATAAAATTAATGATGCTTATTTCATGTAAAAGGGGCCTTCAAATATGACATCATTTATTGGATGCATCTTGATGACCGTAAAGGTAGAATGCGTAGTGATGTGCTTATGGTAGACATTTAGTGTCACTAGAATTTACATGATCTCTTCTACAAATACTCACTCTCCTCTTATGTTAATGCATAGGCCCAACAATGATTCGAGAGTGCTACTGAACTATCTCATACTTAAGGGTGCAAGGTAATGCATCGTGTCTTTTATCCCGAATCTTTATAATAATGCACATCAAAATTACCTATTCGAGTTTACAATCCAAGGCTTCTTAAGATTTGACGTCTAATGCTAATAATTTTTTTTTACAATATATGACATAATCTAAACCATTTTATTTGCATCTTCGAATTGAAGCATATATCTAAAACAATTATAATCATCCTATGCCATTTTATTTTCATCATTGTATTAAAACTAATAAGTTCATAAACCTAGAACATTTATATTCAAACTAATTTATTATCATTTCCATAATCGCATCAATATATTCATACTTTAACTAAGTCATCAACATAACCAATAATTAACCTAACTTTCATACTTTTTAATTTCATCAATATATATGTTAGCATATATAAAATGATCAAGAGTTATCATTTACAACTCAAAATGGCCGAATCTTAGCAATTAGTAAAAGTGATTGAAACCTAGCGTTAGTTTAGCTTTGAAACTTTAAACCTAAACATGTAGTACATGATTTGTCAAACTCTATAGCTTACGGCCAGCATCCTCAACACATCTAATCGATCTTCACGTATCACTTTGCTCACCAATACCATAATTCAAAACGAGTGAGCTAAAACTTAGAAAATGTAACTATGCATGAATGCAATTAAAATCATCATTTTTCATGCTTGAAATTATTTTGTCTTTCGGGTGTACCCTACTAAATATATATATAATTTCAACTTTCTTTAGCCATAGAGACTCTAGACATGTTCGATTAAATGAACCTCGTAAGGATTGATCATTTTCCTTATCCCTCTTGAACATGTCTAGTCATGTTATGTCCTCGTAAAACCATATCCTTATCAAAATCATGTACATGTCCTTTCTTAAATGCTTGAAATCATAACATAAAATATTTCATGGTGTAAATATAATTAAAATATAATATCAAGCATATACATAAGCATGAACTATATGGCATTGAACCATTCATGAATACATTTCACTTGTCATGATAAGATTGAATATTATCAAACCTAAACCAACTATGAACACAATCTAAACAATCTCGATCAATCATCAAATCTGAATTTCATCGAGGCTATAACAATATCAAACAATTCATGGCCATTGCCGGATTCATCATATGGCATCCGAAACATAAATTCCTCATTTAAACCTACTTAAGCCAAATCATCTTAGAACATCTCAATCATTTAAATATTCCTTAAACACCTAAATATATAATCAAGTGATATTAAGTAGTTACCTAACAAATAACCATCCACCAAACCAAGCAACCGTATATGAGCAAAACATCACTCAAGCTGAATCATCAATCATTACCAACATCATTCATTTGCCCAAGCTAGATGAGTGCTTACTTTATCTATTTACACTTGGTATGCAAAACCATGTAACCTAACTCTAGTCAAATTCATTCAACAAGATAAGTTAGTTCACATCAATACAACCATCCAATCATTTAACCAACCTAACCAATTAATCATAAGTAAACCAAATCCATTATCGAATACATAAGTAAAAGCCAAAGTGCAACAAGTATACACTTAGGCCGAATCCATCAAGTTTCTCACAATCAACCATAACTTTTAATAACAAGTATTCATAAGCAAAATAAATACATTAAGCTTTCACGTAATCATCTATTCATCAAGCTCAAGTCGAAGTTCAACAAGCATAAAACACCCATGAATCTTAGTCGAATGCATCAAACAACATCACCAATAAATCCTATCCGAATGCCTCATCTCCATCATCATTCAATTGTCCAAGCCAAATTCAAATTATAACAAACATTCCTCGACTTCCATTCGACAAGTCAAGTAATAACAAGAAGCCTTCTAGGCCGAAACCATCACATGAACACAAAGTCAAGCAATGTGAAATTAAACACCTAAACCAAACCCTTTAAGTAATTTCATAAGTATTTAATCTTCATTTAAGCAAATGACAAGCCAAGTCGTCCCATGTTAACATAGTCATCTAATTACTCAACTAATCAAACTAAGCAATCATAAGCAAACCCAATCTATCAAGTGACACATCATCCTTAAATCTATAAGCAAAACCAAATTACGATAAGCATACTTCAAAGCCATAACCATCAAGTTTTCTCAAATCATGAAATTAACATGCCAAAGCCAAATTACATCAATAAAAAAAACCCTAGCCAAATGCATTAAGCATCAACATCAATTCCAAATCCATCACCAAAACATGCCTTATCATCATTAAATCATCATGACACAATAACAAGTGAATTCATGAACTCCTAATCCGAAATCATTCATAATAACAAGTATCATTGCTAGAGAAAAATCATAATATTTTTATGCATCGATAATCTTTACTTTCTTTCTATAGAATTTGTCAATAAAAAAAAAGAAACTATTGTTTATTGTTTTCATTCTTTTTAATCACTATCTCTTGACAATTGTAAAGAAGATAAAAACATGTGTATTCATGTAACTCTGCACACATAATTTTTTTTTTTTTTGGAAAAATGTCTAATTAAGGATAGAATAAGATTCATTTTACATCATATCTTAATGATTTCTTAGTGCAAAATAAAGAAATAATGTTGCTTGATCATTATCAAATTATTAAAACATAAACCACGTACCAATTAAACTCTTTCGAAGACTTGTTTAAAAATAAGAAAGAAATAAATATAATGAAATAAGGTTTGATACAATTTATTGAATTCCGTAAATATTTCATTTCAAAAAGAAGAGACAGAGAGAGAGAGTTTGAAACAATAATATCTAATCACATATCAGTACTCTTAATTTCCAGGGTTTACTAATGTGACCACGTCATATCACCGCGTGATGAACAAACATGTGGTTCGGTGATCTTGAGAATATTGATATTTTATTTTTTCAACACCTGCAAAAATAAGTTTATTTACTCAGGTGAGAGATTTTTCCACCATCAAGTTAATGGTACAAGATGACCTGTTGGTTTGGAATTCTTTTTTGAATAAAATATTTGACTATTTCACCATTTCTATATGCTACCTCACGTCTTTAACGTGTTGTTCAGAGGCAGCAATTATTGATCCGAATGTGATTCCCATTTCATCTACGCTTATGGTGGCCCAAATTATGGTCAGTATTCCATGAAAAAGGCCCAAAAATATCACCGACGGAATGGGACATGGGTGGGTACAGGGCACATGAGTAAATTAAAAATTAGTCTTCAAGTTTTGAAAACAAAATTTAATTAATTTTCTTTTAAAAAAATAATTAATTTGGTCTATTTTATGTTTTTTAATTTAATCTATTTTTATTTTAAAAATAAATATTATGAAAAATATAAGAAAGAAACATATTAAAAATAAATAATATTAAATTAAACATGATCTAATACTTGTTTGATAAATTAAATCATTAGTTTAAAAACACTAATTAATTTATAAGTTACTACTATGCACGTAAACCCAACACGAAAAGCTTTCAAGTTGCAATATCTTTGTCTTCCACCTAATGATCATTCTTAGCAAAAATAAGAATAACGAGTTTTATTCTCACTCTATAGTTGTTTATTTGAAAAGAATAAAATGAGAATATGAATGAAAAGTAAAAATAAAAATAAAAATTAAACATAGTTTCATTCTCATGTATAAGGTGGAAATAAAAAATAAAAATAGTTTTCTTTTTGAAATAATGATATATTATTTTTATTTAATGTGTACCAACTACTTCTATTATCATCATTGTCATTATCGATCGTCATAAAAAAAAATTAAAAAAATATTATTATTATTATTTTGTCACCGTTTCTCCTCCTTAATTTAAACTATTAAATATTGATGGACAATTCAATTTGATATCCTTAATTTTTATTTTAATGGAGTACTTAATTTAATTTTATATGTTTTAAAAATCAAACAAATTATAAATTATAAAAAATTATATAAAATAGTCAGATTTTAAAATTAAATATTCTAATCAAATAAATATCCGAGTTTATTCATTTATAAATAATTTAAAAATTTTGTTAAATATTACAAAGACACTATGAAATAAATAAATAATGCATGTTGGAAGCTCATGTCAAAAAACATAAGAGTGTGTGTGGGTTTTTTTTTTTTTTCTCATTGTACAGATTTTACTATTTAGTTTTTTTGTTTCTAGTTATTTCAAAATTTTCTTTCATTTTTTTCAATTTATATATATATATATATATATATATATATATATATATATATATATATATGCGCACGTGGGTGTTAAAGAGGTATTTTTGTCAAAAAAAAAAAAAAATAGCAAAGACATATGAGAGTAAATATGGCTCTATAAGGATATATGAGGTTTAAAAATTCTGAAAATAGCTTATAAGAATTATGTTCATTTTTGTTGTTGTTTTTCAAAGCATGTTAACCTAGTTTTTTAAGTGAGTATTTTGTTTCACAAGCTACTAAGAATTTAATCAAATATACTGTTTAATTAAGAACTAAACCAGGTATTTGGATAGTTAACATTCAACTGTAATTAATTAATTATGCATTGGGAAATTTGTTTCGTTTTTGTCTTGCTTTAAATTTTTTTTATTTTTATATAGAGAAGGGTTGCCCGTACGCTTGACTTCTCAAACACAATAATAACTTTTACAAAATATTACACATTTTAGATTCTCCTCTCCCCTTTTCCCGGCCCCTTCCAAAATGACTGATGCTTCAAAAATCAATGAATCTTCAAACACGAATAACAAATATGAAGAGATAATCTCAAACCTTCCCCAAGATAATGGCTGGAAACCATTTGGAAAACTTTACAACTATCAAGGCTTTTGGTACGCTTCATCGATGCTCCAAAATGTAATTTCAGCTCAGCAGTCCTTCACTCCCCAACCAAAAGATTTTATCTTGTGCAGCTCTCCAAAAAGTGGCACAGCTTGGCTTAAGGCATTGACCTTTTCCATTGTGTCACGAAATCAGGTCGATGATTCCACAAACCCTCTGCTAAAAAAAGTGCCTCATGATATTGTACCTTTTTTAGAGATTGAGCTTCCCCAAAACTCAAGTACAGAAACCTAGATACTCCACTTGTGGCAACCCATATTCCTTACACTTCTTTGCCAAAATCCATAATAGACTCAGATTGTAAGATTATCTACATATGCAGGGATCCCAAGGATGCCCTTATTTCTCATTGGATTTTTGACATTAAAGTGAGTGGCATCGGCTTGGAATCCTTCCCTCTGGAAGAAGCATTAGAGCAATACTGCAAAGGGGTCTATCCTTTTGGACCCTACTGGGACCATGTTCTAGGATTCTGCAAAGCAAGCTTGGAATTCCCGGAGAAGGTACTATTTGTGAAGTATGAAGATTTGAAGAATGATGGGCCATTCCACGTAACGAGAATGGCCGAGTTCATGGGTCACCCTTTTTCGGTAGAGGAAAAGCAACAAGGAGTTCCAGAAAAAATCATGAATATGTGTAGTTTTGAGAATCTGAGCAGTTTGGAGGTGAATAAGAAAGGAAAATATAACACTCCTGACTTCTCTACTATTGAAAACAAATCTTTTTTCAGGAAAGGTAAAGCAGGTGACTGGAAAAATCATTTGACAAATGAGAAGGCAGAAAAACTCGACCAAATTATGAAATAGAAGTTCAGTGGTTCCGGCTTGGTTTGATGTTCATAAAAATCGAAACTCACTTACTGTTGAGTCTTCCTTGCTTAATTTCGATTGGCTTGAATAAACAGCATATGCAGGTTCACTTCTTTGACTCAACTATTGTTGAGTTCTTCTGTGTGAATCAGATATGCTACTGTTCTAGTGTTACACAATTACCCTTTGTTATTCGAATCTCTTTCTTTGATTTATGGAAGCTGTGACGTAATATTAATGCTATGTATCCATGTCTGAGACTGGAGGGCAACTCCATCTGAATAATCTCCGGTGAATCGTGTAATAATATTAATAAATAAAAAAAAACTCTGTTGTATTGTGTTTTTTAAAATATTTTAAATAATTTTTTTAAGGATTTTCAAAATTAAAATTTCTCTTAAATGATTGTAGGCGTTTTGGTCTAAAGACGGATAAAAAGAGCATATGGGATAAAATAGGAATGTCTAATGACACTTGGAAGAGAAATTTTTTCAAATAAAAATAAAAAATACAACATCTATATATATATATATATATATATAAAGATGAATCAATTAGCCGAATGCATTAAACAACATCATCAATAAATCCTCAAGTAATAACAAGAAGCCATCTAGGCCAAAACCATCATATGAACACAAAGTCAAATAATATGAAATGAAACATCCAAACCAAACCCTTTAAGTAATATCATAAATGTCTAATCCTCATTTTAGCAATTGACAAGTCAAATCGTCTCACATCACCTCAATCATCTAATTATTCAACTAATCAAATTAAGCAATCACAAGCAAACTCAATCTATCAAGGGACAAACCATCCTTAAATCTATAAGTAAAACCAAATGATGATAAATACTTTAAAGCCATAACTATCAAATTTTTTCAAATCATGAAATTAACAGGACAAAGCTGAATTATATCACTAAAAAATCCTAGCCGAATGCATTAAGCATCAACATCAATTCTAAATCCATCATCAAAAGATGCCTTATTATCATTAAATTATCACAAACACAAGTAACAAGTAAATTCATGAACTCCTAATCCAAAACCATTCCTAATAACAAGTATCATTTCTAGAGAAAAATCATAATATTTTATGCACTGATAATCTTTATTTTCTTCCTATAGAATTTGTCAATAATAAAAAAATAGCTCTTGTTTATTGTTGTCTTTCTTTTTAATAACTGTCCCTTGACAATTGTAAAGAAGATAAAAAAACATGTGTATTCATGTAACTTGCACACAATTTTTTTTTTTTTTTTTTGAAAAATCTCTAATCAAGGATAGAATAAGATTCATTTTGCTTAATATCTATATGACTTCTTAACTCAAAATAAAAAAATAATGTCGTTTGATCCTTATCAGATTGTTGAAACATAAATCATATCAATTAAACTTTTTGAAAGACTTCCTTAAGAATAAGAAAGAAATAAATAGAATGAAATAAGGTTTGATCCTATAATTGAATTTTGTAAATATTTTATTTCAAAAAGAAGAGAGAGAGAAAGTTTGAAACAATAATGTCTAATCACATACCAGCACTCTTAATTTCCAGGGTTTACTAACGTTACCACGTCATATCACCGCGTGATGAACAAACATGTAGTTTGGTGATCATGAGAATATTGCACCTGCAAAAATAAGTTTGTTTACTCAGGCGAGAGATTTTTCCACCACCAAGTTAATGGTACAAGATGACTAGTTGATTTGAAAAGCTTTTTTGAATAAAATATTTGACTATTTCACCATTTCTATATGCTACCTTGCGTCTTTGGCGTGTTGTTCAAAGGGAGCAATTATTGATTCGAATGTGATTCACTTGCCATCTACGCTTATGGTGGCCCAAAATACTGTCAGTATTCCATGAAAAAGGCCCAAAAATATCACCGGCGGAATGGGACGGGTAGGTACAGGGCACATGGGTAAATTAAAAATTAGTCTTTTAGTTTTGAAAACAAAATTTAATTAATTTTCTTTTTTAAAAAATTAATTTTCTCTATTTTATGTTTTTTTAATTTAATCTATTTTTCTTTTAAAAATAAATATTATGAAAAAAACATAAGAAAAAAACATATTAAAAATAAATAATATTAAATTAAACATGATCTAATATTAGTTGATAAATTAAATAATTAGCTAGAAAACACTAATTAATTTATAACTCACTACTACACCTCATAAATCTAACATGAAAACTTTCAAGTTGCAATTGTTAGCTAGACTCCTTATCATGTAAAGTCTGTTGCTCCCTTATCACTTATTTATTTGTTACATGCTTAGCTTATCTTGTAACAAACTTCAGCTCATGTATATGTATATATACCGACATGATACAATGAAATAATATATAGAGAAAAACTGTTTAAATCAAAATCTCATCATGATATCAAAGCCTATGACTAACCAAATTATTCCCATATCCTCTACTTCAACCACCCCTACCTCGGCTCCCACTATCACTTACAACTTTGCTATTAAACTCAACCTACGAAATTATCTTGCTTGGAAAAGCTAATTTGCTCATCTTCTTAATTACCATGGCATGAATAACTTAATTGATGGCTCATCTCGCTCCACTTGCAAGCAAAACCTTTAACCACAAATTCAAATGAAACTTCGTTAATCCGGATTATACACAATGGTTTAAAAGAGACCAATTGTTGCTATCATGGATTTTGTCATCTCTATATGAAGAGTTTTATTCATACATTATTGGTTGCAATACATCATTTGTTGCATGGAAAGCATTAGAAAGTGCTTTTGGTTCCGTATCTCAAAACCATCAACTTCAACTTTATGTAAAACTTCAAGAATTGAAAAGGAATGATCTCGGTATTTCTCAATATCTTCAAAAGGAAAAATCATTGGTCGATGAGTTAGCTGCTGCTGGAAGATCAATTTCACCTGCTGAATTTAATGTGATTGTTTATTGCAATATCGATATTGAATTTCATTGTATTGTTTCGCTTTAAATTTACGTGCTCGATCCAGTTTCTTTTAATGAGTCGTATAGCCAACTTCTTTCCCATGAGATTTTGTTGAAAAGCTATCAAGCCTTTCCCATGGAAAATATTACAATTAGGCCATCCTTTCAACAATCACCAAGGCCGACTTCCATAACTAATCAAGGTCGCAATTTTTGGCCTTAGAAAAACAACAAAAGAAAGTGCCAAATATGTGGTTATCATAACCACACTACTCGTTGCATGTTGACAACGGTATGATCATAGATAATCTACTCGCCCACAAGCACATATTGCATGGCAATCTACTAATGCTTCATCGCCATATCAAGGATACCCTACATATTCACCGCTTCACCAAATCGAACATGATCGCTCCCCCATATCAAGCATAGTTTCCCGATATAGGTGTAACACATCACATGACACCAAATCTTCAAACAATAGTTGATCCACAAGCATACAAAGAAGCGGATCAAGTCACAATTAGTAATGGACAATCAATGCCAATTTCTCATAATGGTATGGCTTTTCATCTTTCCATTAAAAATACTAACTTGATGCTTAAGGATGTTCTTCATGTTCCCTTTTTATCTAAATCATTATTATCTTTTCAATAGTTTACCAAAGATAATAATTGTTATTTTGAATTTTATCCTTCTTATTTTTTGGTTAAGGATCCATAAAACAAGGAAATCCTATTGCAAGGCGGGAGTAATGTGGGCTTATATGAACTTAATCCTAGCAAGCCGCAAGCCTTTTTGAATGAATATGCATCTTTCCAAACGTGGCATGCTAGGTCGGGTCATCCGCGAGTGCAAACAATTTCTAGAATAATTGCTAATAATAAATTACCTACATTAAGTCCTTTAAACCGTTCTTTAGTTTGTTCCTCATGTGAGTTAGGAAAAATACAAAGTTGCCTTTTGCGTTTATTGAGCATACTAGTTATAACTCTTTTGAAATCATCCATTCCGATGTCCGGGGTCCGACTCCCGTGCTTAGCATTTTAGGCTTTAAATATTTTATTTTATTTGTTGATGATTATTCTCGCTTTACTTGGATTTTTCCATTAAAGAATAAGAATGAAGTTTTTACTCGTTTTCAAATTTTTTGACTCTTTTGTAAAATTACAATTTAATTTGGACATAAAAACTTTTTATACGGATTAGAAATGAGAGTTTCAAAAATTAAATTCGTGTTTTAGAGAAAAAGGCATAATTCATCGGGTTGTATGTCCTTATACGCATGAACATAATGGGTTATTTGAAAGAAAAATTAGGCATATCATTGACACAAGACCGACACTCGCTTGCCCATGTGTCAATTCCTTTTAGATATTGGTACTATGCTTTTGTCAATGCCGTAAGTACTATTAACAATCTGCCTAGTACAAGTCTAAAAAAAAAGTACCTTATGAACTTTTATATCATAAGCAACCGAACTACCTAGAAAGCAAGACCTTTGGTTGTGCAATTTATCCTTACCTTAGACCATATAACAAAAATAAGTTCAACTTTAGAAGTAAAGAATGTGTGTTTTTAGGAAAGTCTCCACATCATTGTGGTCATTTTTGTCCGGAAATTGACCAAGATAAAGTCTATGTAGTTAGGCATGTATCATTTAATGAAAATTTTTTTCCCTTTAAAACACGCAATCTGTCTCTTTCTCCTCGCTCTAGACATGGCGCTCCCTTGGTTAGTCATGCGAGTCCCGTCTAACTCCGCTTTGCAATAAGGTATATCTCCCTCTCATACTCTTTCTCCTTCTCCTACTCTACCTTCGTTTCCTACTCTACCTCTCTCTCCTACCTCACCTCATCTAGTATCTCCACCCTCACCCTTATCCCAATAACTCGTAGCTCACGCCTCACCTACTTCCACACCACTATTCTCTAGTTCATCACCTTATCCCATTACAACCGAAACTTTTTCACCTACCTCTCCCTCTTCAATCGTAACATCTCCTAGACTAGACCTCTTTGTAGACTTAACCAAATACTCCTCTCAACCCGAGACCAATAATCAAA